TAGATTATACTTAATTAAATCTTATCTTAATTACCCAACTTTGATCCAAATTGGTATATTCACAATGTGTATAAAGATAGATTCTAAATCTCTTTTGATTAAATGATGTTCAGTATTCATGAACATCGACTATTTATTATATTCTTCTATTGCTTATTTGATTAAAACTTTATTATATTTGTGATTTATGTCTACTAAAGTAATATATTTGAATTTATTTTTTGCTAAAGAGAAGTTTTCTGACTTGAAGAATTTTTTGTTTTGAGCATATCTCTGGAAAACTGATTGTATGCTCTTGTCTTTAACCATTCTTCTAATTGTAAAGTTTTTTTTTTTTTTTTTTATTAATAGATTCTAAACACCTTGCTATATCTCTTCTTCATTAAAGCTAAATATAATCCAGTAATTACCATTAATAAATTCAATTTTAAAAGGATTTATTTTTTTTGTATCCTTAGTGCTTCTTTAATATATTTGATTCCTTCTTTATTGATTTCTTCTAGTAATGTTACCTGAAGCACATCCATTTTAATTGAGTCTTGTCATTTGATGAAAAATAGATTTATTGTAAAACTTTGAATTTTATTTCTTGTGCTATAAAAAATATTGTCAGTAATATAGTTTCCTTGTACTGTTTCTTTTAACCTTTTTGTTTCAGCTTTGGCTTGTTCTACTGTTTCTTTTCTCCATTATTACTTCTTTAATAAATATTTCTTCTTTATATTTTGTAAAAAGTAATTGAATTTCCATTGGAATACTTTCTGTTATCACAACCTTTTCTTGAATAGAACTTGATGGATAATTTGATAATTCATTTATCAATACATCTTATACCTTTTCTTCTAGCATAGGTGCTTCAAGATCTTTTCTTTTGCCTTGCCCTTTCTTCTAGAGAGTTAGAATATATTGTTGTAATATATATTCCTTTGCTAGAATTTTGAAATTTATTCTTAATAGATTGACAAGAATATTATTTAATATCAAAAATAAGTGAATTGCTTCTATAAGAATATAGAGTTGGGTAGCTTCTATTAATATTAACTTATACTGAATCATTTTTGTTTTCCATAGTTCCTGTTGAGGATTTTGGTTAGAAGCTATTTTTCTTAAAATCTTTAATAGCTCTTTTTCTCGTTACTATAGAATTTGGATATCTTTATTCTTTAGTTGCTATAATATTATATGATGCAGATTAATTAACACATTATTTTGTTTAAAATAAGAAATGTTATTATTTATTTGTTGTACAGTTTATGTCTAGATACATTAATCACAATCAAGTCTATCTTATCTTGTTTTTTTTTCATATATTATTGTTTATTTGTTTATTTGTTGCACTGTTTATGTCTGGACATATCAATCACAATCAAGTCTATCTTGTTTTCCTTTACATGTTATTGTTTATTTGTTTGTTTGTTGTACTGTTTATGTCTAAACACATCGATTACAATCTAGCTTATCTTATTTTCCTTTACATGTTATTGCTATTTGAATCTATTGTCATATTGTTAATCAAGTACGTAAACTAATATTTTTGTATTTAATTTTTGTTTTTTTCAAGTTTCTTAAATGAGAAGAATGTATATACAGTATATTTGTGTTGTATTTATATGTTGTTATTGATGTCTGGTATTCCTTTAACTATTACTCAAGTTTATGATATCCTCTTGGGTTTTTGCAAACTTTGAGTTGTAATTGGTTTACCAATTGTAACTATTGTTTGCAAGGTTCGTTCTAATATCTAAAAAGGTGTTTACTCTATACTGGCCTGGTTAGAAGCTTGGAGAGTTGATGTTGGATCCTATGGCCTTACTGTGATTCAGACTTTCTATGGCTTTCTTTTTTCTTTCAAAAGTTTTATAGATCAAATATAGGATTTGTAATAAAGAGTATTTTTTTCCTTTAAAACTAATCTTGGAGAATGCTTTTTATTCTATTTTTTAGAAGTTTGTTATGTCTTTGTTACTTGACTAAAAGTGTCTTTATGAGTTTTTCAAGAAAGTTATCAAAAAAAAATTTTTTTGAAAAAAAGTGGATCAATAAAAAGAATTTTTTTTTATTCAATAAAAAATTATTTATGATATAATAATATATATTAAGTATTATTTAATAATTGTACTAATAAAATTAACAAGTTATTTTATTTTTTTTTTTAATCTGCAACCATATCATATGGTTTAATTTTTATTAAGAAGTTATATAACTATCTATAATATTATAGATTTTTTATATAATGATTAACTCATCATTGTACTAAAGTACTCTAAGTCAAATCTAGAGATCAATATTTTACTTTTCTAGAGGATTGATAAATAATCTCTATCCATTAGGTTCATTATCAACAGTTTGTCATTGTAGATTACACATAAACCATGAATTGCTAAATTAAAGAAAAAAAAAAAAAAGAAATAGAAAAAGGAAACAATTCAAGATCCTATCAAAAAAGTCTAAAAATAAAGCAATCCTTCTCTTAAAAAAATATCTGCCTGATTGATATAGTTTTTTTGCTTCTCTTGAGCCTCTAAAGAAATCTTCTTTATTATCACTTGTAGTATTGGACAAGTCAAGTCAATCTAACTGATCTTTCATTTAAATGAGCAACAAATTGAAATATTTCAATAAAAGTATTTAGACCTTAGCTTTTGTTCATTAAAGCTTTGTTATCACCTAAGAGTTTAGAAAAGAGACAGAAATTTGCAATTCATATTATCTATCTCTTAGTTTTTTGGTATTATAAATGTCTTTCTTAAGGAACTTGAGTTTTTGAAGAGTGAATATTTCAAAAATATTCTTTCCAATTATTAATGATATTATTAAGATACATAAGTATGATTAATTAAAGCTTGTTTACATTTCAAAAGCTAATACATTTTATATTAGTCTATTATTTTTTATAAGAATTTGTTTTATCTAAAATTCAGGATCAAACTGTGATAAGCAAAATTTCTCAGAAACTATGAAAATAGAAGCTTTAAGAGGATCTAGACAATCAGAAAGAAAGAAAATAAGTTTTTCTACTATAACAAAACCTTTATAATCTCTTGCTTCAAAGGTTAAAAAGGCTTTCAAATACTTTACAGTTAGTTCTTCTTTCTTTGAAACCTTTCTTACCTTTGGTATCAAAGGTATTATTTGATTTTTCTTAACTATTAGAAGTCAAGTTTTTGAGTAAAGAGATTTGTAAACAAGAGGAAAAGTATAAAAATGATTCTTGAAGTTATACTTCAAGTTGTTTTAATAAAAGTATAAAAACTTTATTAGTAAGGAAGTGAAAAAACCTTTTGCAAATATTTTTTTATATATAATTAAAGGATTAGTGCAAAGAGTATATCCTTGTATACAGTATATATATATATTTTTTTTTTAACCTGCAATTATATTACAATGACTTGTTTTTATTGAAAAATTGAAATAAATTTATAATATTTTATAGACTTTCACAAAGTGACTAACTTGTCTTCATACAAAAGTACTCTAGATCAGATTTTGAAAACAATATTATACTCCTCCAATAGATTGGTAATAATCTTGGATAATTGCTAACAGTTTGTCATTGTTAATTGCCCAAAAACTAATGAATTGCTAAGTTAAAAAAGGAAAAGAGGACAATTCAAGACTTTCCAAAAAAATCTAAAAATAAAACCAACCTCTTCTTAAAAGAAATCTGCCTGATTGAAATAGTCTTCTTACTTTATTAGAATCTTAGAAGAAATCTTCTTTTTAATTACTTGTGGTATTAAACAAGTCAATTTAACTAGTCTTTCATTTAAGTGAGCATTGGATTAGAATATCTTAAGGAAAACATTTATATCTCAGCTTCTTTTCCTATGTATTTGTCATGATATTTTAGATTTGCCATTTATAGAATGAGGTTCTTTCTTATGAGGCTAGTACAAAAACTTGGAGTATCTTTACTAGTTATAGAGATCTATTTCACTAGTCTGAAAATCCTTTTATTAAATTCTTCTAGTTCTTTCTGAACATTGATATTTAGTTTATTATTTTTTTTCTCAACCTTCTTTTTTCTTTCTTATAAAAGCTTTTTAAAGCTTCTGAAAGTCTATCTATTCCTTTATTCTATGCTTCTTAAAGTTGATTCTTATAAGCTGAACTTTTATTCTGTTGACTACATACAATATACTGTATATAAGTAAGTAAAGTACTGTATATATATTTTATTATATATATTTTTTTTAATATTTTATAATAAATTTATAACTTTTTAAAAACTTTATTATTGAGAAACATTTTAAATAAACAAATAAAGATAAATGATAAACAAGATAAATAGTATTAAGCTTATTAATACCTTTTATAATATTAAGTTCAATAAACAAAATAAATAATTGTTAAGTTTATCAGTAGAATTTTACACACTGTACATGTTCTATGAAAATGATTGTTTTCTTTGCACAAATATTATGGGAATAATTCCTGTTTAGGTTTTAATCGATCTTTCTTAAGGTTAAGTCATACCTTTAAAAGAAGATTGATTAACTATTAAAAAAAAAATAAACTTACCAGCATTTTTCATTCGAAATAAATAATATTTATTAAAAGGCCAAAAACTTTTACACCGGACTGTAAAATTTATATCAATTTATAATAATCGAGGCTCGTTATGTCGAAGTTTATTGTTCGACGTGTCAATCTTCAGTATGAGCGTCAAACCGTTTACCAACTTCGCCGAAATTAAACGTTAAAGTTTTATGTGATCCACAAATAGGAAAATGTTGGCTAGAATTCGGTCAAGTTCTGTGTCATTGGGAATAAGAATTATTTATGAGTAGACACTAAAAAAAAATGTCCAGTGGACGAAATAGTGTGTAAGATGATAGTTCATTATATTGTTAATCTTTTGTTGACACATGTACAGTATATTTTTTTGAATCCAGGATACAAGTATCATGGAGATGCCTTATTATTACATTTTTTATTTTCAGGTCTATATTAAAAATAAAAAATCAAATTTTTGTTGAAAGAATGTCTTTGTATTTTTTCTAAGTAGACCATTTCTCCCAAATTCCATCCCTCGTAATTTCTTCCCAAATGAAACTCGCTCCATTCTGGAATTCCAACGGCACAGTTATAACACGTATTGCCATAAGGTCAATGCTATAATCAGTCCAATTGATATGGTCGAGCTATAGGAAAATGAACACTTTAATCTATGACCAGCAGAACTCATCGATCCCGAAGAGCTATTTACATTGGAAGATTTGCCATTTCCAGGCAAGCTTGGTTTATATGGGTTTGGATTATTTGCGGTGGTGTAGCTACAATTTTTTTTTTTTTTTAAAGAAAAAGAGAGAGTCAGTGAGCTTCATAAACTGTCTGAAGATAATCAGGGAGAAAAAAAAAATCATAACATAACGTAGGCTTACCCCAACGTCTCAAGTACTTTGAGCAAGTTTGGACCTAATGCTGAAGTGCCATTAGTTTTACTTATAACTTCATCTAAAGTGACACCGTTGAAGGCAGAAAATGCCATCAGAAAATCGGACGTTGATTTATAAAGTGTATCCACATGACTAACACTGGAACCATCTTCAAAAGGATTTAATTTTGTCTCAAGGGTTACTGAATCGTTAGAATTCGTCAGGAAACTCATTGTGTGCGGAGTTTCGGCATCAAACATTAGCTGTTGACTGAGATTAAATTGTGGGGAGTTGGCGAAGGTATTCAACAAGTCATTTGCTGTAGCGAATTGAGTACCGATTTTTGTAAATGAATTTATTTTCTTAGTTAATGAAGTCATCATCACTGGAGCTTTTCCGGGTTCTGTTAATTGCATGTATCGATCAAAGGCCAACTCATCAAAACCCGTAAAGTCCACGGGCGAATTATCGCTGGTGACGTCGTTTAGAAAATCCGGGAGTGGAGTCAACAGTATAGGAGTATCGGTTAAATAATTTCTCCAAGACGACGCGAACCCTAGTCCATGAATAAATTCGTGTGTAACAATATATTCGAAGTCAAATTGATCGGATTGAATCGTCGAATCGCCTTGAAAGAACATGTTCGCCTGAGTGTTGAAGAATGCTGTTATGTCATATGGACCGAATGATGGATGGTTAGGTAGTTGCATCTGCTTGACTAACGCTTGGGGATAATACCTAATTACCCCATCGCTGTCTTGTAACGGTATTGTTCTTGCGGGGGAAGCCGATCCTTTTTAGCAAAATTCTCGATTAATAAATAAATTTAGCGGACAAATGGTTCGCATTATTGATAAATCATACCTAGAATCAATCCTCCCCCCGGGGTTGGACATTCACCGAGGGCGGTGCAAAAATTCGTGAAGGTGGCATTTACCCTTAAAGGAGTATTAAATTGAATAACTGAAGCAATTCTCACACCTACAGCGTTAAATGCACTTTGTGCCTGTGCGCATAGCGTTGCATTGTTAACACCACAATGAAAGTCAATTATGAATGCTTTATTAGGAGCTAAAGCGGTGGCATTTGATGATGATTTAATCTGATCGAACTCTTGTTTTTCTGTAATAGCGCAGCTAACTTTTTTGCTAGATTTGTGAGTGAATGGATAGTAGTGATCACGACAGGACAGAGCGAACGCTTGGTCAGGAATCGAAATTATAGAGATGATGAAGAGGATGAAGGAAATTGGTAGTAACGATGTGAATCTCATAATTGAATGTAAAATTACAAAAGCGAATGGTAATGATTATGATTATTTTCTAGAAAATGGTGAACTTGCCAGAAGTTCAGTTGAAGTAGGGTACGAATTATCGTTATTACTATTTCCTTCAAGGAAATGAGAACTAATATTTTGGGAGAAAGGGGGGGGGTTTTTTCTTTTTGCCGAGCGACAAAACAGACTAAATAAATTATGCCGCTCTTGAAAAACATTATTTGTAACAGATACTCCATATTTATATCTTAAAATGAAACTTGTCATACAAGCACCGTAGGTAACTTCTTTATGTTTTATTGTAATCGACACATAGCATATTAAATCTGACACAAGGAAGGTTATTGGTATGATGTCCATAATAGAGATCTTTATTATGGTAAGGCATCTTCTAAATAATTCCGATCATATAGTCTAAATTGGGAAAGCTTTGAAACCGGCGCCTTTGTATTAGTTTCAAAGTTCATAATTGTGTATAATACTGTACAATACGTAATGGCACTGGCTTGGATAATCCTTATTTGCCGCATTTGAGCGCCAAGGTTCAGCTGGACTCTGAAAAAAAAAAATAATAGATGATAAAGGCCTTTATGAAAAGACAAGGTAAAATATATTAAAGTTATACAGCATAAGCTGTAAATAAAATTTCCAAATCCCAAATTTATTATTTAACCGATATCATGTACGGTATTGTCTAATTATAGTATTGTATTTTTTCTTTAAATAAAATAAAATCCTTTGATCTAAATTATTTGAAATATAGTACATCCTATTATTATATTGTCAAGTAAACAATTTTCAAAAATAGTTATTTGTTATTTATTTTTTAATAAAGTATCCTATTAATATTGTTTGTTTTTTTGCTAATTTGCAATCTCATTATCTTTTTATTATATTTAAATTGGCAAGATAAAGCATAGTAATTTTAATAAGTCATAAAATCAGTTACTTAGTAACAACATAAAACCTGGTTTTGAAAATAATATTATATTTTTATTAAATTAATTGAATTTGATTATAATATTTGACAGTTAAATTATTGATAAAAAGATTATCAAAATTTTTCTTGAATAGTATCACTTGATACTTTACTATTTTGATAATAAAGTAATAATAAAAAATTTAATAATAAATGTTAAATAAATATTTAACAATACAATTAATTAATAATTTATAAATAATATACAAAAATTTTATTAACAATTCAATAAAAATTTATCACAAAATTATTTATTAACAATTAAATAAAAATTTAACAATAATTTATTAAAACTTTATAAAAAAAAAAATTGATAATTTAATAAAAAATAATTAACAATTTATAAAAAATTTATCAAAATTTCATTAAAATTATTAATAATTCATCAAATATTTTATTAAATATTTAAAAATTTTTTATCAATTATTTATTAATTATTTAACAAAAACTCATTAAACTTGCAAAAAAAATTATTTATATTTATAAATTATTTGATATTTTTTATACAATAATACATAATTAATTAAATAATAATAATATAGATTATATATTATATATTATTTTATTATTTTATCATCTCTAATTTATAAATATAATTTTAATTCAAAAAAATTCATATATAAGTTTATTAATTTTTTTATTTTATAATTTTATATTGTTGAATTTTTGTCAAATAGTTTTGATAAATAATTAATAAATTATTAATATATTGTTAATAAATTTCTATTAAATAATTAATAAATATTATTAATAAATTATTTAATATATTATTAATAAATTTTAAACAATCTATTGATAAATTATTAATAAATTATTAATAAATTGTCAATAAATTTCTATTAAATAATTAATAAATTTTTTATTAAATTATATAATTAATAAATTTTTTATTAAATTATATAATTAATAATTTATTTATATTATTAATTAAATAATTGCTTATTTTGAATTAAATATTACAGTATATAAATAATAGTTTTTATTTTTATTTTTTTTATTTTTATTTTTATTTTTTTTAAAATGCTGGCTCAGCCTTGTTTTATTTGTATATTTGTAGCAAAATTACATAGAAGAACTACTCTAGAATTTACTACCTGTTTTCTATCAAATAAAACTCAATAGAGGATTTTCTTTGTGAGAGTACTCACCTTGCGACTTGTTACCACCCCTATTAAGGGGGCTAATCTTCCAAGGCTGGACTAGTGCTAAAATAAATTTCAAAAATAAAGGAGTTATCTACAATATTTGTGAGCCACTGGTCCATGAAGCTATTGATCAGACTGATGTATTGATCTTTTATATGTATTTTCCTCATATTGAAAAATATGTCTTTCTTTTTGGGCTTATATTTTGCTTGTTTCTCTTTCTTTTTTGTGATGCCCATGGTGGTTTTCCATTTCTGAAATGTTTCGCACCTTTCTGTCCAAGTTTTGTATAGGAAGTTGATTATATCGGTGCGTATTTAAGTAAGGCAAGTCTTTCTGTTCAGTCTGTCTGGGATAGCTGCTTGAATATGAAGGACCAGTTCTTTGAAGAAGGCACCTCTGATGCTTACTGCTAAGTATTCTTTATATTTCCAGTTCGTTTTGCTTATAAATTTGTTTTCAAAATTTTTTCCCTCTTCTTGTGTTGTGTGGCTTTTGACGTGAGTGGTCACAGTATTGATTAAGAATTCTTCAGTTTTAGATCTGAGCTGATTGCAGATGAAAAAGTGTGTACTGGTCTCTGGTTCGTGGCATTTGGGGTATTTGTTGTCTTTGTATAGGGAGGAAATTCTAGCATATAGTTTGCTTTTTGTTGGCAGTTCATCATTCCAGATGCTAAGACATAATTTCCTTAGCTTTTGGTCTTTCCAGTCAGTATGGCGGTTGCTTATTTTAGTTCTTGCAGTAGTGTAGTAGTTGTCTACCAGTGTATTTCTTTTGCTATCCTTTCGCTATAGTTGCATCTTGTTCGATTAAGGAGTCTCCATTTGATTAGATGGATTGTTTGGATAAGCTTTTTTGTAATCATTTTTATAGGGATTTCTGTAGGGATGTTGTTCCATTGAGGGACTATATCTAAGGGACCATGTTGTGTTCTTTG